ACTGCCTAATCCATCTCTAACTTTCTTCACCAACTTCTTCTCACGACGACCATATCGGTTTATATACTTCAAACTCATGTACGGTTCAGTACCTAGCTTGAAAATCCTTGTGGGCAAAACGATTCTCTCTACAGAACTAGTCATCTCCTGCAAAAAAAGCAGCCGAAACAACGAAACTGATTAACGCAAATACCCACTTACAAAGATCTGACGGATCAGTTTTGACATTTCTAAGCTCTATTACATCAAAACAGAGTCGAAGTAAACAAAAAGTATCAGATCATGACATGCAAAGCAAAAGAGCGAAATTGCTTAGAAGGAGAAAAAAAAACCCACATTTATCGTTACAGAGGAAGAAGCTACGTACCCAAATCGGCACAAATTACTCTGGTGTCGTTTCCAAATGATCGGAACCCTAAACCCAGAGAGAAAGAGGAAAAGATCGGAACCCTGAACCCTGCCTGAACCCTCTTTTTTTGTTAGGAAGTCTAAACTCTTAAATAAGATTTTCTTAATATATTTAAATAATATAATTTTCGATATACTTAAATTAGAAATATTATCTCTTTGCGCCGGCGGTAATAACCTTTTTTTTTGTATACTACAAAATATTTGTATTTGAAATTTAACATTAGTTCTTGTATTGAAGAGATGAAAATTGTTATAGATAATAGATCCAATGATGAACAATTTCAAAAGGTACATAATGAAACAAAGAGCTAATACACTGTTGATTTTAGTGGTTAGGCAAACAAATTTACAAGACAGACAGAGAGAGATAAATAGATTCTGGTTACTTGACTTGTTACATTCTTCATGATATTTGGTCCATCAACATATCTGAGAAGAAAGGATCTGAAACAGCCTCTTTAGCTGATTTATACTTCTCCATCCGCTTCTTCAGTGACCGTAGTTCTCTTTCGTTCTTTGAAGACCGCTCCTAAACCATAGATGCACAAAAGAAAGGAATATTAGTAGGCTTTCTTAAAGATGAGACAACAAATAATCACAGCTATGTGTCCTGCAAACTTACGAATGACTTCTTGGTCAGTAAGAGATCCACGAGGTAGATTAACCAGAGAACATTTGTTCGAGCAAAGCTGTTGTTAGAAAGAAGAAGAAACAAAAGATTATTGAAATTAGCAAACTATTTAGGCACACTTCATTTTGGCTGGCTCAATGATCATTCAAATAATGTTGTAGCTTATTTCTCCAAATTCACGGCATAAAAACCAAAAGCAAGACTTGTAAGATGTACACTTACCTTCCTTCCCAGTAATCTTCAGTAACCGCCTTCATCTTTCTGTAAGTTTCCGCCTGCATGATAATATTATTAAAGCGTAAATAAATATTTCATTTTCATGGTTCTTGAAATTATTGGAGCTTAACCCCTTACTTGTTTATCTCCTTTTGGTCCTTTGAAAAGGTATGGATCAGAAGTAAGGTCNAGAAAGAGTATCTTTTCACCTGATCACATTAGCACCATAAAAATTGGGCCTCATGGTCTACAATATATCACAGTATTGAGAACCAGAAACTCACCAGTATTGATCCTTGAAAGAGTAAAGTCAATTATGGATATTTGGACCCCAAAAGTTTTGATGAGAACTTGTTTTCCCTCGAGAATAAAAGGCAAAGTACTCGAGTTATTACGATTCAGAAGAATGTTTCCCCTGAAAGACGAATGAAAACAACAAATTTCAAGCTAGAGAACACTAGTAAGTAGTAAACTAAACCAAATTCAACATTAACCTTACCAGTGCAGGTCTCGATGCTCGAACTCAAAAGCAGCTTCAGCAACAGCTAGGCCAGCCGTGACCTTAAATGTAAACACATGCCATTAACCAGAAAGAAATATCATTTACTCAATTTCTGTTACGGAAAATTAAGTCTATAACTTACCTGAACCAGTAAGCTTCGTGCTTCATCAAAGTTCAAAAGAACGAAGCTTTCAAGGTCTTTGCCACCATGTTCCAAAACAAACATGACATAACACTGGAAGCAAACAACAAATGAATATTATTTCTACAGATTCTACAGCATCCAACATAAACAGACGTTTTTGAAATCTAGTAGCATGGAAGAATCTTACTTGTTTCTCAGGAAAGTCTGGGTGATCATTCTCAGAGCCATGTTTTGCATCCCATTCTTCCCATGCTTTTATCAATATAGGGTCATAGGGACCTTGGCATACTTTTATACTGCAATATAAGCACAGGTTTGTGAAGAATGATACGCAAAAGCTTGGTAGAAGATTTATAACGCAAACCCAACAAACATCTAGTTCCTGAGAAGACATACTCTCGAGTTTTTATAAACGAACAACAAGAATTCTGAGCTCCAGTCTCACATTCTCTTAGTTGATTAAGAGTCCATGAGAGTATCACTTCTTCAAGTAGTTCGTCAGCTCTCTGTAAGTATTTGACAACATTACTGATAACTCATCCTGATAACATATTGTGTCCAGAACCATCATGGAGAGAAAAAAAAAAAAAAAGTGAGGTCAGAAAAATACCTTCTGTATTTCTCCATTAACCCTTAAGTCTCCATCAATTGGAACTATTTTACAGACACTAGGACCAGTCCGAAAAGCCTCTCCATATGTACCTTCACCAATCTTGACAATGCTTTCTGGTTCACTGAAATATTGTCATAATTACAATCAGATCAAGTAAAACTCAATGAGATCAGAACAGTACATCGCCTTTCTGAAACAGGGTACCAAAGTGTCAACCAAAAATGCAGAATATTCCTTAAATAACACACCAAAGCAGCAGTAGTTCCATACCAGAATTTAGAGAATGCTTCCATGAAGTTCGATGGTTGCATCTGTCCACAAGCAGACAATAGATCAAGAAATGGCTTCTCAAGATCTAGATGGGTGGAGATCAGATCAGACGTCAAAGAAAGTCGCTTCAGCTCATCTTCAAGGTCGATTTCTTCCGTCTTGATATTTCTAACAGGCACATCTTCTCCAGCTAAGCTGTCATCGCAGCTCGGTCTGAGCCGGAAATCTGAAGTGTAGCTAGCAGAAGACTTTTCTGGGGTTTTTAGAGCCAATGAATTAATGGCATCATCATCACATATTGGCTCCAAGGGTGTAGCTGAGTTTTCAAGAATCTTAGAGAGTGTGCTTGAAGGACCACAAGAACGATTTAACTTCTTCGAGATCAGCCATTTTTCTAATCTTGTGGAGAGATGTGGCATCTCAGGAACAACTTGTTCACCCATGGTCCAAGTAGAATTCTTGGTACTAGGAGAGGGACTCTCTTCCGGAAGCTCAAAAGCATCAACCTCGTTAAAGTATTCCTTCTCTTTCTGGAAGTCTGGAGCTTTAACTACTTTCCCCTGAGAGTTTGAAAAGATAATGCTTTTAAATCATCTCCCAAGAAAAAAATTAGAGTCAGGAGAAAGGAAAATGTTTGTTCAGAGAACTCTAGATTTCATATCAAAATCACACAAGTCACTGGACAAGATAGATATAACTAAGCCTACCTTTGGAATAGGTGGCTTTTTCCTCCCGGCTGGCTTCTTCTGAGGCTGATTGTTTACATAAGCGCCCACCGCAATACTCTCCCTCCCTCTGTCACAAGCACCAAAAGTAATATATGAGCCATTTCGTTCATAGTTATCAAGCCTTAAAAGGTCTGTGACACTTCCTTGACATTTCAACAAACAAGACGTGTGCAGTAATTTCATAGCTTAAGAAACGAATTGGAGACATGAAAAAACAAGACCCATAGACAAATTGAAGAATAAGGTCTCTTGTAACAAGAAGCAACAGTTCCAGAATCATAAGAAACAAAAAAAAATTGGGGTTAATGCTCAGAATGTAAACCTGGTGGAAAGGGAACGAGTCCAGCTATCTCTCTTCTGTCCATTTATCAAACTAGCACGAGCCTCTTTCACCGAGCAGCCTCTATTTCTCAAACAACACATCCAAACAAAAGATTCTCAGATACAGAGCCAACTTAACCACACACACATACACATTTCAAAAAACGCAAGAGAAGGTTTTGAAAATTACAAATCTGCAGCTTCTTCGGAGAGCTTCTCGGGTTTCTTTCTTCTCTGATATACAGCTTCGATCTTGGGTATATCTCCGAATCTATCTCCGCCTTCTTCCTCGGATTTAACGATCTCAGACCACAGATCACCTGCCATAAAAGACCAACCTTTACACATCTTCTCTTTTACAAACACAAAAATACAAAATTTTGAAAGAAACCCATAAAGGAATCAAGCGTCGAAACTCAATTGATTCACCTCTCTGTCCCATCTTAGGTTAAACACAAATGACGATTGCAACAGTCACCGAGAGAGAGAGAGAGACGACGATTTGAATAAAGTTTCTGACATTAATAGCGGGAGAAACTCATTGGTCCAAAATTTAACTCCAAAAACTAAATTGGGCTCAGAATCTAATTTAAAAAGCCCATAACTGTTAGTACCTCTACATAAGCCCAAAGATTAGTATGTATACGTAATCTAGTTTTATGATGGAATAATCAAATTGAATTTTTATTTTTGTTCAAGCCGGGTTTCTAACCTAACCAAACCAAACCAAATGATTAAGGGATTTGCATTTGAAAATAAGTATACGATTAAAATGGAATGTTGCACATGATTAGGCTTTGAATTTGTTGGAGTTTCTCTTTCAAGAAGAAGACGACGATGAACAAAGATTAAGCAACCTGTTTCGTAATTGTTTCACAACTCAAAGCTATTCTAGAAGACTATAACCTTTCTCTGTTTCGGATATTATATATTTATTGAAAGAAAGTGCTTACAAGAATTTGGATCCAATTTGATAGCAATGCTTGTAGATTGGTGTTATAACATCTGTTAGACGGTTACATAAAGATATACAGTACTATGAGATTGTGTAGATTGAGATTAAGTGATCACAACAATACACTAATTATTTATGTAAGCATGTAAACTATTTTTATACCGAAACTTTTGTGATTGTGTGTGTGGATTGAGATGAAGCCAAGAAAAAGGTTATTTCAACAGTTACATTCCAA